ACCGACTCCTGAGCTTTCTGTGAGCTCAGTTGGAGTCCTTCTGTTGAGTCCGTAGAGGTCGGTACACCATGTGGGTGTTCCGCCTCGGCATGAGACAATGTGGTCTCAGCCTGCAGCTTCTCCAATTCCCCCCCGGTCGGGTGGGACGGGGCTGCTAAGCCAGCTCGGGGCTCGAGGAACGTCTTGTCGTGGGCGTCCTCGAAGCTGTCATCGGACGTTGGGTTGGAATCGGCGAGGAGGATCCGCTCGTTGCGCTTCTCCCTTGCCTCGGCCGACTTCGTTGAGTCCGTTGATGACGGCTGACTTTTATCCTGACCGGAGTGCCGTAGTGCGTACGGCGCGTTGGAGGTCAGGCGCCGCGAATAGTCCGTGTTGAACTTTCGGGCGTATTCGTTTTCCTTCGGGTTCGACATTGTTGTCGGGTTAGGTCGGTTCAAGTGGAACCAACGAGAGACTTGTACTGTTGTACAGTAAATTGAACAATCCCTTATGTGGGGATGTTCGATGAAATCAGGAACGTCTTTGGGTTCAGGAACTTCCGAGGGTCAGGATGGTCCGACTTGTTGTTGTTGTTGTTGTGTTGATGTGTCTGTGTATGACTCAGTACACAACGTTACGATACAGTACTATGGTACAGTACAGTATGATAAGGTACTACAGTAGAGTACGTCCTATACTACTGTGCTGACCAGTATGACGTCACAGGGCTAAGTGGTCTTGCACTTCACTGCCTACGTCACAGAATGCGAGCCGCGTGCAAAATTTAAAAAAATGATGATTCACGCCTATGTTAAACGTATGGGAAGTTTCCCCTGCACGCTGATTGGCTAGCCTCAAAGTACTGAAAATCGGGCGTTCTGACGTCACAAGGAAATTCAAGAATTTTCGCGCTTATTTTCGCGGAAAAACAAGAATATTTTTAGGTCGATCAGAGATGTTTTCTGGTCGAAATTTTAATTTTTAAGCCGTTAGAAATAATTTCTAGGTTCTCAGAAATTTTTCTGACGGTGGAAAGTCCGTCAAATCAAGAAAGTAAGAAGATGACCGACCTCTGCTCCGTTACACAGGGTGGTCAGTTAGGTCGGTAAAGTAATTTTGTAGGTCGGTTTCTCCGACAAAAATTAACTTTTTTACCGAAGAAAAATTATTTCTAGTTCTTAGAAATAGGTTTCAACCATTAACAACTAGGAATTCTACCTAGATTCGACCTGTATTGACCTGTAACCAGGACTTTACCGGTTCGTTACGGTGTCCGTGGAGGTCGGTGATCCGCCGTTGGGAGGTCGATTTCCGTTAGAGTTGCGGGTCGCCGTTCAAGGCGAAGGTCCCCGATTGTTGAGAGGCTCCTTCCGCGCTGCAGGCTACTGTCCGAGCCTGATCCGTCAGTTGGGATTGGGGAAGTTCCCGTTCGTCCGTCTGGGGCAGTCAGCCGAAGTGCTCTCCTTGTGTGGAAGAGCCAAAAGATAGGGCAAGCGAAGGTGGCAGGGATCGCTTTTGCGATCAACCTGTTGCTACCACAGTCGCTAGACAGCAAAGACCAGGTTGAAGCAGAGGCTGCGTTCGCAGTCAATCTGACTTTCAACCACGGGTTCTTCAGGGTTCTCCGCGAAATTATGCCTTTACCGTCTCCTCAAAGGATCCGGTAGAACGAAAAACCAGACGATCTGCTTACCATGTGACAGGCAAGCACAGAGAGCTCACAGATGACTTTATTGTACAAATAAAGTGGAGCAAATGCCGCGTGATTGCGGGGAAAAACACAACAAAAGCCAATGTCTGGCAGAAAAGTGAGCAGTCAAGTTGCTGCGAGCTAGTTCTAGAGCGTAATGAAATGTAGAGAAAGAAATGTGCTGGCGGCAACGGCGTCACGCTGTCCAGACACATGGAATGTGAGTGCGCAGACTGGACTCGTATCCAACGCGAGCGAATATACGCTGAGTCATACGGCGAGAGAGAGGAGCGAGAGAGCAAGTATGCTCAGTGAGTGCGCCCGCGGTGTATCCGCTAGGCGGAGAGTGCAGTGCAGCCACTCACGTACGTACAAGAGAGGGCGAATCAGCATGTGTGCAGTGATACGCATACGCAAAGTGGCGTATCTATCACGCAGGCTGTCGTGCCTCTAACAGAAGTCGAAGCTCGGTAGCCCAGGCCCCAGTTTAGAAAAGAAATAGAAAAAGGTCAGAATATCCTTTATGTAATTAATTAGCGGTTTTTCGCTGAGTTTATGGCACATGTAACAATTAAAATGTAGAACCCTGAAATTTTTGACATAAAAAGAGAAGACTTCGTAAAAACAACCAGACTTTTAAAATTCTGTAACACTAACATGGTCTAACCGCTAAAATTTCCTTTTGTACGTAATCAGCATTGCAGTTCTTATAATCTTAAAAATTATGCAATCCTTAATGGTCACTTAGCTGCGACCGGAAGCTGCAATGAATTCTGTTCCGCATGCTGCGCATAACATTCAAAGTACGGGCATTTACAAAGTACAGCACGACAAAAAGAAGATTCAATTGGCCAGTCGGTTCGCGGTTCGAAAATTATAGCCTCGCAAGAACACGCCACCAGTTAAAAGTTGGCAGTTGACACTAAACTTCGCCCACCAAGTACTTTATAACGCTCATGTGTATCCATTCGAAACGACCGGGGGCCTCCAAAACGACCGCCGTAAATTTCGCCCACTAAGTTTTGTGAGTGTTTTTAAACGAACAATTTTAATACTGATTTTAGTTGCTTTTTTAATTCTTAAAGGTGCGGCCGCAGTGATATGGATTACGATTATTATGTCGCGATATGAACATCAATAAAGAAACAGTTATTTAGAATCAGTATATTTCGTATCCGGTCGTTTTAGCCGTTTAGATTATGGGTGATGTACTGACTTAATGTTTAAATTTTAACTATTAAGTAGTGTACCGGCGCTTGCAGTCATTGTTATCGTGGTGGCTATTGCCCAATAAATATATAATGAAAACGGAAAAGACTGACTTAATAACCATAGTTGTGCTACTGTAAAATTATTCTGTAACTTATTAAGTCGTATTAATAAATCAATCAGTTGCTATATGACCAGACCAGAGTTCATGTCATATTTCAATACGCGACATTATGAGAACTGCGGAAGCTGACTTGTCACAAATACGTCGGACACCACCACACCGTTTTTGATCTGTCCATGACCTTTCAACGGAGACCACGTTTGGCCGATTCTGACATATGAGCCTCCTCACTCTCTCCACTACGAACTGGTTACCATGCTTGGTAGAGTGTCTCTGACGTGCATAGTAGTATCCTACACACATCGAATAAACACTACTACGCATAAGTGTGCTTAATTCTACGTTCCTGGGTTGTTTCCGGATCTTCTCTTCTACCTCTGTATGACGGAAGTGATTAGGCCATGTGTAGCCAAGGTCTAGGCTATAGGTCAACGTGTGCTTTGCTCTACTTTTAGTCTATGGTCATTTTCATGTATAAGCTGATAGCCGAGTTTCTTTTGTGGTTGTCGAAAAACCTGCGCGCGCCAGAGTGGTTAAACGCGCCGCGGCTCGAGCATTCCTGGGTTGCAAGTTGCAACTAGAGACTTTCTCGATACGATTAAATTCACGGCTGAACCGCACGCTTTAGAGTGAGAAACAGCATGATACCTCGGAATGACCTTTGCGGACGTTGCCGGTTCTCCTTTATTTTACGGGCTTGCAAAGTCGTTCGCCGGGCTGTCTTGCGTTGTGACGAAGTGATCTTTGCTTCTTACTTATCCTCTTGCACACATACTTATCCTCCTCTTCTTACTTATCCTTCTTACTTATCCTCTTCTTTCCCAGTATCACCTGGTAGAGTTTAAGTGTGACTGGCATTGTTGGTATTAGATTAATGGCCTATTTCAGATTGCACGGTCTGTGTTCCGTTCGGCTCCGGTTCCATGTGGAACCTTCGGTTCAGGGTTGTTTTACGTCCGTTCGCGATGTTACCAGCTGTAACCTAGCGTCGTGCGGTGAGGCGATACCGCTGGCATCTATGTGTCGTGTATAAGCGTTCACGCTGGTTAGAGCTCCATGAACAATCTTTACTCTTCCACGCCTGTAATGCTCAATCGGTAGGCAACTCTCTCTCAAACTGTAACAGATAAACTATGGTGGAAATATACGAACGAGTCTGAAACACGAATCAGGAATCCCTGCGAGAAATCCAACCACAACTTCCGGTCGCAAGTCCTGTGAGGATCGGCAAGAGCTAGGACGATTGTGTCACGAGCAAACCTGTATTCTATGCAATAATCCGGGAGCGATCATGTACATCAGAAGGAACAAGTATTGCTGTCTTTTTATCCAATTCACATCACAGTTCACAACACTAGGAAATTGTAATTAGAAAGTAGTCTCAGAAGTAAATCTCAGACTACTGATGCCGATATTAGAGGTGACAAGAACTTATATAGACTTCGTGTTATGACATCAGATACATCGCTAGTAAAAGAGAACAGCAAATCACAGAAGAGATTGACTAGATTATCCGTTTGTGTTGCAGGTGGAAGGCGGACAGTCAGCATCCGTACGTACATTCCGGCGTGTGATCCTACTCCCACACGTCATATGTGTCGTCCCCATACGCCATCCAGATTATCCGAAGGATAGGCGTGATTCCTGTCCATCAGCGCCAACAAACAGTTTTTTTTAATTGGTGTCGTGGAAGCTTGTGCAAGCTCCTGCTTGCAGGAAGCAGGAGTTTGCATAATGCTTACGCCGCCTTCCACAAATCGACCACGACACAATCATTAGTGCTTTCTCTACAGATAGCTCCATCTGGAAATACTAACCCAGAGCAGATAAAGTGGAAGAAGAACGAGCATATATTTTTTTTGCTTACAATTATATCGTGTGATGTGGTAAATATTAGCGATAATATTAATTATTTCTGAGTAAGTATTTCACGTGAATTGTAGCTGACTATGGGGCTTTTGCAAATAAGAGACTGTGAAATATAAACACCATACCGGGTAGCAATTGTAAGTTTTTTACGAATCATTGCTTAAATAGCTCACCACGACATGTGGTGTCATTCAGCAGATTGTTGATAGACCGGCTATTCACATCACCTTGTAGCCATTTTGAGCGTAACGCGTACATTTTTCTCACAAGAAAACAGCAGTAGTTCTTAACCGTAAGCGTTATTGCATAGACGATCTTGCAGTCGTCAACAATTAAAAGTAAGCCAACGGTTCATTAGCATTTGCTTGCTTTACTTTCGCCAATGTATTTTTTCCTTTCAGGTCCTGATTCACCTTAACAAAGAGGTATTTGCCGCCGGGTTGCACTGGTCCCACGCTGACCTGTAATAACCAAACGTATTGCAGAAAACTAGCTATGGTGCTGTCGATAAAATGGCGGAGTAATACCTTAATATAGTAGACCGTTCCAGCGACGACCTGGCTGGAATATTCCGTAGGCACCAGTTGGATGTTAGCGCTGAGTTTAGCTCGGGCAAGGATTTGCGGGCTGAGCTGAAACGTAATAATTAAATGTCTGCTGCTTTTTGCTCAGAGTGACAAGCTTTTTGTCACAACTTAGAAAACCTAACCGCTATGGTAAAATTAATTCGTAAGGTTGATAAATAAAACATTAAAAAAGTCACGGTGGAATAAGTTTCAGCTCTTCGAATTTACAGACGATAGTTTCCGGCTTCTCACGAGATACCACGCACAATTTTGGTAAATTCGTGATGTACAGAGTACGTTCTAAAATAATGTTGTCAAAAATCATCAGGCTTAATTTACAGGGTCTAGTGCAACTCGCAGAATAATTGTCGACATGCGCATATTAAACATTAAGTGATCCAATGACATGCATGCATTACGCACCGATTGGATGATTCCCTTAACCTCGCCGTTGGCCTTCTTGACTGCGCTCAATCCACCAAGCGTCTGCGATGTGACCGCTCCGACCAGCAAAGCTGCCAGTACTCTAGGGGTGAAAAAATTCTAACTAAGCAAAGGTAAACAAAGAACTGTCGCACACTGTCCACCGTCAGACGCCGGCATCCAGAGATGCAGCGAAAATGTCAGACTTACATGTAAGCTGTGGAGGTCATGGTGCGGGTTTGAAGGAGTTGTTGTCGGAAGTGACACAGTGTACAAATTCAGGCTAACTGAAACGCCGAAATAATAACTCCTGTTAGCTAGTAAAGCTGTTTATATATTGCTTAATGCGGATATGTACAAAGCCGCAGACAGCTGAAAAATAGCCTGAGGATTGGTCTCGAGTCTCGAAACCAGAGACCGCTATGAAACAGGCTGCCATGAATTATCACCTAAAGAGTTACATAATCGTTGCCTCGATAAAATATTGCAACATTACCAGAAGCCTGTTGCATGCAACTGCAATATGCATTGCATTTGTCTGCAACTAATATCGAATAAATGATGATTAATTGTCTTATTTATGATTTAATGAGTAAGACTAAGCAGTAAAGGGACATAAGACGATAATACAGTGGTACTATAGCTGACAAACCGTTGTATAGTTGCCCAACGTTCCCCGTAAACGTTCTGTCGCTAAATATTCCAAAAACCGGTGGTACTGGTACTGAGAAAGTTAATTGTCGGCACTGTCAGTGTCAGCCAAGAGAATTAACTGCAATGCCGGTCTAGACGTTAATGTTTACTGATAGCTAACATGACTTGCCCAACTGGCAGCGGCTGTTATGACTAATATCTAATAGAAATCGAGAAAACTAATGATGGCAAGCGGTTCTGGTATCACAAACTTTGCCGGGCTGTTCCTACTAGAACGAAGCCAAAGTATGTATCAAATTTTGAGGATACATATAAAGACACTAAAGCATCCCTTCGGCAGACGCGAAGCGAAGCAGACAAAAGTCGGCAGACGGATAAACAAAAATGTCCGCATAAAGTATAAAAACATCTTTTTCTCACATTTTCCAGTATTGCAAGGCACCGGTATCAGGTTGCTCTTTGAATGGTTTGATGGAGTCAGTTAGGGCATCCAAACGTTTATGTTAGAGAGCACATAAGCAGCCGGATATTCAGTCATGTGCACTTGTTCAACCCACTCACTGGACCCTGTTGCCCCAACTGTAGACGGATGATGAACGCTTTGGAGGACTTTTTCATTGCATCGATATTTATTACAATGAAAGTTAAGTGTATATTTCTACGCTAACTATCAGTTTTATGCACTAAATTTTCATAAACTTTTTTTCTTGGAAGTCATTCCGTATGCTGTATATCAACGATTTTCAGCTTGCAGCATCTCGCTCGGTCACTCCAGACTGCAGCGCAATAAAATTGATAAAATAAGGAGATTTTGTTCCACCTGGTCGCCAAACCATACAAGTATTCTACCGCACTATAATTAAATGACTTGGGTTGTTCCTCAAAGTAAATTCAGAATTTTGTAATAGTGTCGATCAGCGCAGGCTGGTTGTTATGTAAGTTGGCTACTGCTTAAAATAAAAATCTTCAGGTTACCGCATAGCAAGTCCGCACTATTCAGCTAACAAACAATCCGAGTAATAGTAGATGCAAGTTGTAAATCCCAAAGCACTGATAAGAACTTTAGGGATCAAAGACATTCTGATGAACCATATACTTAAGTCGTAACGTTCACAAACCCAAAGCATTGTCGAAAATCGTATTATGCATGAGCGCGAACAGACACATGCTACGATTACAAAACGATTCATTCCTTCAGACATCCGTCCAATGCTGCCAAAGTAATTTTGCTGAGTGCCGCAAAGTCCAGTTCCCGGAGAATCCATAGTGTCCCACCGCTGGGAATCATCATCGGGATCCAAAGTGTTAAACCTATTTGAAAACAGTCGATTTTTTCAGGTAGCCGTGCATCAAACCGCGATTTGTACTGACATTGTAAGAAAGATGCGAATGCGCGCCCGTTCCTCGGGATATGCGAGCGCATATCCACCCAGCGCGCATGTATCGCTGTGACCTTGTCCCGCACACGTTGAGTAATAGCCGGGCAGTTGTCGTTGGCGGAGTTTGGAAAGCGTCGGCACCGTTCCGCAGCCGTTTCCGTGGCACGGAAGCGCAGGAAAGGAATGATGACATCCGCTTGAACAGCAACATCACATCGTAGCAATTTCATTTCGCGCTCCATCAAGGGAGACGCGCGGTAATATAATATGTTCATAGCTGATCCAGTGATGGCTTCGGATGCACGGTAGTTGAACAGCACGAGTTCCTCGCACACCGTCATCAGCTCCGACAGCGTCCGGCATTCATAGTCCCCGCTGTGCGCGTTGCGATTAACGGCCAAGAAGGAAAACGACGACTCGTTATCGACTCCGTTCTCAACAATGAACAACGGCAGCCGAATGTTTTTAGCTGCTAACAACATTTTGATCCCCGACGTTGCATCTTTGACATCAAGACCGGCGTTTATACGCGAAACAGGCTGTTGTCGTCAATCAGTGCAACAGTTCAGGTCTGCTGCGTCAGCGTGCGATTCATAAGCGTTAAGAATTTCAAGACGCGGAATCGCTGTTCCACCTCGAGATTTTCATCATAAAGTTTCCTAGGACACATGTCGTGTTTGTCGAAAAGGATATCCCGCGTGTTTGCGGGTTCCAACAGAAGAACCCTCCATAACGCGCATACTCTGATGAACAATCCCGGAAAATGCAACGCTCTTTGTTAGAAACTTTGAAGTACAGGATAACATAGAACACTGATACTTAGTTTAATCAAAGAAATTATAGGTAAATTATGGAAGCGCGAGCCGGTCTGAAAGTCATCCACCTTGTCTTACCGGTGTGTGCGTAACTGGGTATCAATGTCCAGATGGATAAGAATACAAGCAACGATCGGGTGTGCGAGATCGCTGATAGACAGTTCATCCACAACTACAGAACATTTACTGTGTTCACGAAAAGGAGAACAAAGTTTTTATCTACGGAATACGCTAAAATACTTGTACAGCAATGGATTTATACGTTCAGCAAATACGTTCTCTACTTTTTTTTACTAGTTTGCAGTAGCTTTTTTGAACGGGCATTTACCTTGCTCGCCAAAGATCTCGGAAGGAATCTGGACCATATTAGACTGCTCCGCCAGTTGTGCGCTGAGATAGTTTTCGCAGGCTTCCTTTAAAAATTTCTCGTTCCAGAACATACTTCTCTCGTCGGCTTTTTCGTCGCGCCCCGGAATGTGCCGCATCGAGTCCTTGTGCATTTCGGTGCACACCACAGTGATCGTATCGACATCGGCTCGTATAAACACCCGGCAGCCGACATAGAAACAATAAAACTCCTTCCACGGCGGCCGATGTATGGTTTCACAGCGGAAAGGCACGTCACCGTTCAAAGCCACTAGAATAGACCTAGCCAACTCTTAGCCAAGAAACGAGATAAGATAGCCTACTCCGCTGAGCTAGTGTGAGCGGAGAAGCGGCTCACGTACAGCGACAAAATCTTTCAAATGATTTCAACGTATTGCGCCGTGGTGCAGTGGTACTGCCTACGCGGATCTAACGACGTAGCCGGGGTTCGATTCCCCATCGGCGCCTTTTTCAGCCGTTTCTCGGTTTCCAGTGGATAGCGCCCTGCTTATTCTAGCATACGAGTCTACGGAGGAACAGTTAAAAAAAGCCGCATATAAACGATAACAATTCATGCATGCAAGATATTCAAAATCTTGTAAGGGTAACCCTCCGTATTATAACGTGTTTGAATATTTGGTACATTGACCGCATCAGTCATCTTAGCTTACAAATTTTTATCGATTTCTGAGTCGAATTTCCATTCATTACGATGCGTACCCGCATGACCTCGATTTACAAAGACAATACCACGGAATGAATGGGATGAATCGAATGTTTCCCGAATCATGCGGTATCACTATCCTGGTTCATTTATAATTTTTTTAAAGGGTTGCATCGGTTTCGCCACTATGTTTTGTATTACTCTTACAGCAAACGCATCCACCTAACTTGCATCAGGAATTACTTACTGAATAAATTACACAAATTTAACGTTGTTGGTTTCGGAATGCCTGAAGAGTGAAATTAATACATATACAAACTAGACTGTACATATAATTAAGTAGGTATTGCGTGGAATGGGTGGAATTTTGCGCTAAATTTCCCTGCGCGCCTTGGGTTTGTTATCCTTTGGCTGCAAGGGTGGCTCCGGAAGATTTAACCGTGGCACCGTACCACGGAAGGGGAAAGTGCCACGGAACGGGGAGCTGCTCGCGGCAACCTAATCTTCTTGGGCATCATGCCTTCTCACGGACGCATTAGGTGGGTCTTTTTCCTGTTGCACACGTAATATGGTTCGCGATCAGCCTTGCCCGCACTGTCGAGTGTGTTTCACACAGGGAGCTGGACTGGCTGCTCACACACGGGCATGCTCTCGCAAACATACCTCGGGTTCCTCCTTTGCTCAGCTTCCACCTCCACCCCCAGGACAACCTCTCAAACACCCGCTGCAGTCGTTTGTGGAGGGTGATCGTTTCCACATCCCGAAAAGAGTTCCGAAAGCCGTAAGACGGCAATGTGCCAGAGTGTTGACGGAACTCATCAGAAAATGCATCCGCACAAACTCATCGGAGAGCTGGATCGACCTGCTGCTTTTCGCACCCACGGCCCTGTCACTCCCTCCGACGAAAAGCTTGCGCAGGGAGTCTCTTGCAGCTCACATCCGGAAAAACCTTGCAGACCTGACAATTGCGAAGCGCCACGCTGTTCCCCGCCGTGATCAGCCCAAGCACGATGAGCTGCCACCTGACAGATTACGGGCTCAAGTGACTTCTATGCTTCAGGACGGAAACGTGAAGGGGGCAATCAGGATTCTACTGGGTGATGATAAACTCGCGGAAATAAACCCTCGTACTATTGAATCGTTGCGCGACAAGCATCCCCCAGCACCCGATGACTGCCAGTTTCCTGCGGACCCAGATGACAGCATAACACCGCCCGCAGTCACTCCAGCCGAGCTGATGGCCGCAGTTTTCAGCTTCCCTTCCGGTTCCGCTGGAGGTGTTTTTGGCCTACGTCCTCAGCACTTGAAGGACCTCCTCATACGCAAGGATGATACACAGAGCGAGTTGTGCTTAGCCCTAACCGACTTGGCTACCATGGTGTTTAGAAAGAACCTGCCCGAAGATGTGCGGCCCTATTTTTTTGGCGCAAATTTGATCCCGCTCCTCAAGAAAGACGGCGGGATACGGCCGATTGCTGTGGGAGAAACTTTGCGACGTTTGTTTTCGAAAATTATTAGCAGGCGCTGTTCTGATGAAGCAGCCGCGATGTTCAGCCCTGTGCAGCTCGGTTTTGGGATACGAGGAGGAGCCGAAGCAGCTGTGCATGCTGTCCGCAGCTACATCGAAACGACGCACACAGAAGCCCGAGTGGTCGTTAAGCTGGACTTCCGCAATGCCTTTAACACACTCCGCCGGGATACTCTCCTCACTGCTGTACACGCAAACTTTCCTGCCTGCTACCGGTATATCTGGCAGTCGTACCGCTATCCTTCATATTTGTCCTGCGGTCCATCTCAGTTATCTTCGGAAACCGGCGTACAGCAAGGAGATCCGTACGGGCCACTAGGCTACGGACTTGGAACATTGCCGCTGTTTGAAAATCTAGACTGTGACATTGCGGTGGGTTTCCTGGATGATGTCACGTTGGCCGGACAGGCAGATAAAGTTATCGCGGCAATACGCGCCATTATTGCCCGCGGCTTCAAGTTGGGCTTAGAGCTTAACTTAGGAAAATGCGAAATCTACAGCATAGGAAGTTTTACCGCGGATCGTCTACATGCCATTCAGAAAGTCCTGGACGTATTTCCTGGAATGGTAGTCGCGAAGGAGGAGGATTTGGTGTTGCTGGGCGCGCCTTTGACCTCAGCAGCATGCGAAGTGTTCTTGAGCAACAAAACCGAACAGCTGGATCACTTCTTGCGTCGACTGAAAAACGTTCCAGCTCATTTTGGCCTGTACCTACTCAAGAACTGCCTGTTCATACCAAAATTGTTGTATGGACTTCGCACCGCGAGATGTTATGAGCACATGCCGTTAATGGAAGCAATGGATGACACTATACGCACTGGATTGTCATCCCTTTTAAACGTCCGGGTAAGTGATATGCAGTGGAGCCAGATGACGCTTCCAGTAAGAGACGGTGGATTAGGAATTCGCACCACTAAATCGCTAGTTTTTCCTGCCTTCCTGGCATCGGCGTATTCAGTGGTCGGCTTGGTTTCCTCGGTCTATCCGTCAACGAACGAAGCGCATTTAGCACCCGTTGTGCAACAGTGGACGATGCTGACAAGAAGTGAGCCTCCGACGGACGGCGCTAGAAAGTTTCAGGCCGCATGGGACCGTCCGGCGATCGATCACGTGGTGTCAACACTGCGATTAGCCGCCACTAACGAAACGGCAAAAGCAGTGTTACTTGCCGCCTTGAACCGGGACTCTGGTGCGTGGCTTAACGCTCTCCCTGCACCTAGTCTCCACACATTCTTGCGTGACGATGAAGTGAGAATCGGCGTCGCACTACGATTCGGCCTTCCTGTGGTTGAGGAGCACATGTGTGTGAATTGCGCTAGCCACGTGGAAGCAAACGGCCACCACGGTCTATCATGTGGAAGCAGCAAAGGACGATGGTCCCGGCATCTTGAACTGAATAACGAAACTAAACGCAGCTGGGAAACCGCGGGTTTTCCTTGTCAGATGGAGCCATCGGGATTGTCAGACAAGACCAATCAGCGCCCAGACGGCATGACGCTGATACCCGTGCGTGATGGAAAAGCGGTAGTATGGGACGCTACCTGCTGGGACACCGTGGCTATGTCGCACGTGAAAGCCAGCTCGAAGAAGTCAGGCAGCGTTGCACAGCTAGCAGAAGACTTTAAGCGGCGGAAGTACGGATTTGTAGAGGATATGGGATATATGTTCTACCCCCTCGCAATTGAAACGTTTGGAACTTTCGGGCCAGCCTTTGCTGAGATGATACGTTTCGTCGGTAGGAAAATCCGCGATCTAACCGGCGAATCTCGATCCACAGCGTTCCTTAGACAACGTTTCAGCCTCGCTGTTATAAGAGGAAATGCAGCTGCTGTCTTGGGTACATTAAACGGGCGACCGAAAGCTGGAAGTGACAGTAATGATTTTGGTTGTTTTTTCAATGTGTGAATTTGGAAATTTTTAATTAGTCTCTACCAGCGCAAGCTTGTTGTTATCTTAATTGGCTATTGCCCGAATAAAGTGTAATTACACAAACTATCAGAGGACGCTGGTCTGCGTTCCCTTCTAATCACCGGAGCTGGCGGGGCTACGTGACCTATTTAGATGGCCGTTTCTTGGCTTGGTCTATTCTAATGGCTTTGCACCGTTCGTACGTTCGTTGCTACATTCGTTTTCCCCTTTCTCTGCATTCTCTAAAAAGTATGATCGAATCTTCAACGCAGCAGGGCAGCAACGAGCGGCCAAGAGGACAGCATCCTGCATGTACTCTGTGCACTGGCTGGGCTGAGCTCGCATAGAAAGTCTGAAACAACCTGCCGATCGCGGTAGTCGAAGTTTTGAACCCGCTATCATGGCCAAACCGGTTAGGCCGGCATGGTTACCAATGGGCCATCAACAGCATACAAACTGTATTGGAAAATTTTATCGGACAACTCCATGGAGAGAAGCTGCTTCTCTGACATCTGTATAAGAAACCGGACCACGTGCTCTATCAGTTAAACCACCGGTTGTATACCTAGCACTTTAAGCTATTCATTGAGTCACGAAGATATTCTGGTTTTTTCTAGATTTCGAATAATGCCGACAGTGCTTTTACGCCTTTTACTGCTTGTTTGAGCGGTAGGACTACTTGCCCTGCGATCATGTCGAATGGGACAACCCTGTACTTTTGCAAGCTATTTAAGGGTTCGCGGCGCGTCAACTACGGGAACACCGTGCTGGTGCAGCGCGACAACGGTCAATGGTGGCCGGGGTACGTTCAGGATATCGATGGTGACCAGTTCTTCATCGACTTCGATGCCAGCACAATCAACGCCCAGTGGATCCACACCAAACATATCTGGCCGCATCAATTTCTTTCGACAAATCGCTGGTACAACGACCAAACCATCCAGGTGGCGCTGCGCCATTCAGAAGGTGAGCCTATGGTCTTCCAATCGGGCACAGTTTCAGTCGAAAGGAACAAGCCGTTTATGTTCATTCACGTGGACAATCAAAATCCTGCTGGAATAATTCCGCAGCCGAGAACGTGCCACATTGTCCATCGAAATCATTCGGTCGAAACTCTTCCAACACCTGACGATGATGGAAGTTTCTTCGGGCGAGATACTGGGTTCCTGTATGAAAAACATGTTGTCAAGTTTCCCGAAGCCAATCTTTTGTCGGAAGTGGATTTCTTACCCGCCTTTGCGAATCGTACATGGCGGCTAGCAGTTTTTCAAGGTTCGCGTCCGAGATATGACCTTAATATGGGTTGTCGGATGTTTGCGCGGGTGGGATCCGATGCGGTGACTTTGGTATGTGGCGAAATTCATGGCAATACTGGCGATTCCAGCGTTTCCTGGAGCGAAGATTCCTTAAAGGAAATTTGCAGAAGCTATCTCATCGAAAAGACAAAGAAGGAATCCGTCAACATGGGCACTCCACCGCGAAACGCACTGCAGTATGATCAGCGCAATGATGACGATGATCAGCGTAACGATGACGATGATATTCATTCAAGCAATTCGTGGAAGTTCTGGTTCTCATCTTGCTTCAGAATATTCCCATCTAAGAATGCAGGTAACAATAAACGGAAAATCATCAAAACGGTAACATGTTAACTGTATGTGATGAAACCTTCGGTTTTCGAAATGGTATGCACAATATCACACATTTGTTTTTAAAATGGCTTGAGGGCTAAGATATACACAATGTTTATATATGTATACATATATTATATGTATTATATTATATGTATAGGTTATATTATATGTATACATATGTCAAGTGTATTACTGTGTATATATACTGTATATTAATATATATATAGTGTGGGTCAACTTTTTTCAAATGCAGAAAATTTAAACTATGAGTTCTGCAGACATAGAAGAAATGTCCATCACCATACTGTCGCATCCGCTGGTAACAAACATTTTGCTTCATCTGGACATGGATTCCCAAAAGCGGACAAGCCGTTACGTGACTTCACTTGACTCACACTTCCAGATCCATTCTTGCATCCGGCTTCTGTCCTGGGAACGGTTGAGTGTTCTCGAGAGTTAGAAGAGTTATTTTACTTGTTCTGATTATTGGGTTTATTTGAAGTTTGAGTGTAAAGGGCATCTGCCTGTACAAGTTGGAAATAAAGCCAAAGCTGAGCTGTAATTAAATTAAATTCAATAACAGATAATAAATTAACAGCTTTTTCTCCCTTATTTACCAGAGTATGCGTCCTATGGAGTCATATTTTCCGAGACTACGTAGACGATTCACTTCGTTCTCGACCTGTGCACCACATGTAAAAGCCGACCTTTTGACGACTACGAGGACTCCTCACGAGAGTACATAGATTATCTCACTTATAAACTGGTTACCACGGTGGAGAGCATCGTTCCAGGGCGCACCCGTTCGCTGGCGTTGACGGAAAACAGGAACCATGTCCACAATGAAAGGGCGAAACACCTCTCGAACCGAATGTGAGCGCTCAGATCAGTATTTCAAGCTAAAGGCATTCGCGTGCCGCTAATTATAGCGAAGAACGGCCGTGATTGCGGCTGGATGACTCTTCTGACCATTTATCGCCAGCCTCGCACCGGCCGCTACGAGTGCTCATCACTCTCCGGCATGATGTCCGTTTGTGAATTCCTGCACAAAGTCTATGATTTCTATTGAGCCAGCGTTGACAATGAGTATCCAGTTACCGGTAATTCATCGGAACATCACATTGTACAGAGTTACCCGTTCGTCAAACATCTGCCTGCGCGCGACTGTGAGGCGAGTTTCTGTAACAGAACCAACGAACTCGTGTATCGGAAACGCGTGATTTAATTTCCCGAGGCGCAGTTGCTGCGCGAACCACACTTCCTGCCCATATTGATCGTTTGCGCGTGCCAGTTGACGTTGGGTAGTGTGGTGCCAAATGCCAATTTACAACATCCTCTGGAGGGAAAAGGTTTAGACATATTCTGCTGTTGCGGACTCACACGCCGTGGGAGCAATCTCTCGATTTTGACATCGGGTGTGCGTTTACGTGCAAGTGAAAATCGACAATGTAACTTTCATCTTAAGTTGGCTTTGACGCCACCGAGCGGAGATTTATCTGGATTGAAGAATCCTTGAAAGCCGCCTGCGAAAGCCTCCTAACAAAGAAGCATTCGCAGCCCGCCAGCCACCAGGAAACGTCGTCCTTGAGGGATGCGTAGGTTTGCAGTCTATTTCGGAGTAAACATGCACGTCAATGTACTTTCCCTGGGGCTGTGACAGGTGTTCTTCGCCACTTAAATGCATAGGACGGTAAGTCAGTACTCATTTTTTCCTTAAAAGCATTTGTCTTATTCTGACGCTCAAAAGCTTTAATATGGCAGTCAAGATTTCGAACGGTTTTGCCCTTTGCGCAACACTTTAATCGCTAAAACGTTAAACCTCAAGATTAATTTTGGGTAAATAAATGTGCTTTTTCGAGGTCACACTATTTGAAAGGTTACGCCGATGAAATCCTGAAACAATATGCACATATTTCAGTAATTGTGCTGTTCTCTGTAGCAAGGCACGGCAAGCTGAAAAACGCAAAACCATGCAATACACCACATACATTTTCAGGTGATAACTGATAACAACGAAAATCCGTGCGAAAAAGCGAACAAACAATCCGAATAACAGCAGATGCAAATTGTGAATTTTGTGGAACCGATAAAAACCTAAATTATTTATTCATGAGCGACATATATAAGCAGCAGTGTTCACAAGCGCAAAAAGATGCCTGCCAGTGGAACAATCAGGTACACGATTACAGCAATTAGGTACACAAAATCAGTCCTTAAAGCATCCGTCCAATGCCGCGTATGTTATCTTGCTGAGAGCGGAAAAGTTTAACTGACGGAGATCCATACTGTCCCATCGCTGTGGATTGTCATCGAAACCCACAGTGTTATACCAATTTGTAAACAAGCACTTTCTTCGGGCAGAAGAACATTGATCAGCCGTGATGCGTACTCACATTGAAAGAAAGATGAGAATACGCGCCCAATCGTCGGGATAAGCGAAAGTCTGCACCCAGCGCGCATGGATCGCTGCGACCCTGTCCCGCACACGCTGAGTGACAGCCGGGCAGTTGTCGTTAGCGGCGGATAGAAAGCGTCGACGGTACTCAGCAGGCGTTTCCGTGGCACGGAAGCGCAGGAATGGAATGACGACATATGCTTGAACTACACAGTCTTGAACGCAGACATCCATGTGCATATCGATGCTGAATTATTTAACATCAAAACACACTGGGACAATCTGGAACCACATTCTGATATGCGTAAGGTAAATGCCCTGGCCCGGTCCAGGAATCTGACGGTCCGAAGCCGCATAGAATGCACGGTACGGTGGTTGGCGTCCATACCACCATAATGTCGTACGTTTAAAGTTTAACCATGTTTTGCGTTTGTTGAAACTTTTGAGTCTTACAGCACACCACCTGATGACTTTTTGCAGGAATTCTGAGCTTCTTCTTTACACTTGCATGCTTCTGCATTTATGTGTAGAAGTATAGTACATACACCCCTTACTACTGTAGTTACGTATTATAATGCCTGCCCATCCGTGTGCCGCTCATTCCGCAGCCAGAACAGCGCTCGTATGATGCCGCTCATTCCGCAGCCAGAACAGCGCTCGTATGATTTTATTTTAGCGGTTTCGTAGAACGTTTTGCCATCGCTCGAGGCTCGTTTCCTTAACCAGTAAAAAGCGTTTGGTCAATAAAACTAATATTATCCGAAATAAGAAATACCCGAACCTTTTATGCAGTAATTTAGAGTCATCCAAACTTGCCATTGTGGAGTGAGGCTTAAAACAGTACGGTTCACGAAAGCGTTACTGTGAAAAGAAAAACACGCAGAAATAGTCGGAAATCGATCAACAGCGCCCACAAACTGTGTTAAACTGAGTGGAAAGCCTGTCATCAGAGCCACAAAAAGAGTCATCATCAACGGCTTACGTGTACGAAAAACGGGTCATGGAACTAACAGTAAGAAAAAGCTCGATTGATAAACGTCATAGTTTTATGAATTCAATAACGCTTGTGTGACGGCATGTACTTAGTATATGACTTCAAGTGCTTAGCAACGTTAACCTTTAGGAATATTTACATTCCTGACATACAGTCTACAGATTAGTCAATTCTCTGGTTGGCTCGCGGAATAAATAAAAAACATACGTATTTGGTAATACGTGACATTTCTGGCGTGAAGGAGTGTTTTCTAACTCATACGCGCAGCCATGCCAAATAGTAAGTACTACCTCTGCACCTGCTTCTACACCGTCCAAAGATGATAGCGGATCTGGCCTTCTCCGTTTCGAGCCAGCGACCATGACCTAGCGCAGCTGGCAGTTTCGTTATCGCAGTTACATCGAATTGCGAAAGGTCACGGACACCGACGAACAAAAGGCCATTCTGCTTGACGCTCATGGGGTTGAAGCGATGGAAATGTGACATTCGATATGTTTGCCCCGCGATCCTGATGATTATACAAATGCACAGATCGTAGACAAACTCGAACAGGCATATGTCAGGAAGACTAATGCAAGCCTCGAATGGGCGAATTACTTTCGACT